AAGTCAGCAGCTACCTGGAGTAAGAGGAAATTCAAGGTGCAAGCATCTCGTCAGGAACATACCTTGAGTATGAAGCAGAGACCACTGAGCTCCAGCTGCTGTCCTTCTCTCTGTCCTTCTCCCTTCGCACGCAACACATCCTCTCTGGGTAATGTTTCTCCACTCCTCTGTGTCATTACAAGTTTATGCTCACAAACGTGCATTGGAAACATGTTATTTCACATCAGATCTTGCTCTCTAGGTCAGAAGTTCACCAAGACACCACAAATTCCTGACTTCTGCATTTTCCCCAGCACGGAAAGCACCTGTGTCCCTTAAAGCTGTAAATAAATAAACAGAACAAACCTCTTAAAAAGTTACACACAACGTTGCTTTTAAATAAAGGAAGGGAAGGGATTCGTCTAAAATTCCACGTAAAAGCATTTTCGTGCTGATCCCCTCTTCTCCTTCGCTAGTGCAAGGCTGTTCCTCCCCGGGGACCTGCTGCGCTGAGCGAGCTCCAGTGCCTTCCCCAGGGACACTGGGGACACAGGTGCCCAAACTGGAGGGCAGGATCAGCCCCTCTGCTCAGCCGCTGCCACGTTTCTGGGGGAAAAAAGGACTTTGGACAATTTTAATGGTGTCTCTCTGGAATCTGTGTTTTTAGAAGCCTGACAGTAACGAGCTCTAAACGGAAACCAGACCATGTCATGCCACATGCTTTATTTTTTTCATATACTTTACTTTTACTGGCTGTGCAGTCCCCATTGCCCCGTCCCCGCTTTCTGGCTTGTATAGCTCCCAGGTAAAATTCAAACTACAGGGCACTGGCGCGTGTCTTCATAAATTTATCCTTTGAGTTTCACTGCTTCCCCTGCTGTCATATGCAACTTTTGATCTTAAAAACTGAAGCAGCAAACCCAAGCGAACAAGAAAAAACAGTGGGATCTTTTTCCATGTGATACATAGGCAGATGTGTATAGCACCAGGAGGAGCCATAGAATCATAGAATCATAGAATGGTTTGGGTTGGAAGGGACCTTGAAGATCATCTGGTTCCAACCCCCCTGCCATGAGCAGGGACATCTTCCACCA